TTTTTTTTTTTTTTTAAAGTGGGATTACTGAAGTAGTAAAACTACATGAAGAAAAGCCAGGATATCATCAGCAGAAAATTAAACAGGTCAGTAGCTCTGGATTGGACAAGGTGGGTCTGGGACCAGCCGCTCCCCTGTGGTTTCAGGGTAACAGCCTCCTGATCTAGGTGTTGGCTTGATACTATCATCACATTTGAGCACTGAGCACTTGGACACTCGAGCACTGTGTCTTCCTAAAAAGGTGCGCTACAGGTCTGGCAATGTCTACAGCGTGAACCACACAGACTGTGGCAGAGCCATACGCCCTGGAAGGCTGGCAGGTCATACACAGGCACCCACAACGCCACTGCGCACGACAGTTTGCATTTTGCTGTAGGGTCAAAACTCATTTCAGTCATCTCTAATGGATGGGCAGGCAAATCTCCTACACAAGGCCAGCCCTCTGCTCTCCTCCGTCATCACCACCAGTGTCACAGTCTCCACAATTCCTGTTCAGACCCCAAGCAGAAAAACAAGAACTTGGCCAAGCACTCTCAATACCTAGATAGTCATTAAAAGTTATATATTTAAGTGCAGCCCTCCATATACCTTCTTTTAGCATCAAACACATCTTGGGTACCCGTGGGTGGAGACCACTGCTCTGTGCAAACACTGGCAAGTAGAAGCAAGGTGAGGTGTAAAAATTCCAGCGCCCACACCCAGGTCCCGAGGTGCTGAATCCAAGTGATCCCTCCTTCCAACCCCTTTGGAGGTCCTCACCGCCATTTCAATGCCTGAGAGGCTCAGTGGCTGCCTTGGGCCCTCAGGATGGAAAGCAGACTCAAGTGGCCGGCTGGACAGTGACGCCTAACCCCCAAGACGTGCTTCCCCCAGGCTTGGCACCAGGGGTCCCTACAAAGACCAGGCTGGCTGTGTGCACCACCCTGTGAGCTTGGAGTCATCTCCACTCCTCCTCTATCCACTCAAATGTCACCGAAGGTTTGGGACTGCCCAGCCTGCACTGGTGAGATCTACCTGCCAACTATGCTGGGACTGCAGGGAGAAGGGAAGCAGGGAACCAGCCCACCTGCAGGCCCTGGTCCACAGGCAGCACGGTGAGACTGGCTGTGCCACCAGAAGGGTGCGAATTCCAGAGCCCCAGTAGGTCCCAGGCTGGCTGTCCTCTGGACACAGGCAGGGATGAGCTACAGTGTGGGTGGCTTCCCCTCCTGCACCTGCCATGCCTCTGTGACTTGCACCTTTTTCCTCTTCAACTCCAACCTTGGGAGCTGCCATGAGACAGGTTCCAATCAGTCCCCTGGAGACGTCCTTCTAGGGACACTGTCCAAAACCGAGCCAAGGACTCCCAATCTCCCCACCATCTGCAAGCACATTTCAAGCACAGCCTCACTTCCGAATTTTGCTTATTTGGAGAGTGTACCTGCTGTTGATCATCTGCTTGAGCCACACCGAGTATAACTTCCTTCACACCCTAGGCTGGAGGACAGCGAGGGTCGCATGCAATCTGTTCCCAGGCTCACAAGCTTTCTCCAGGGCAGGGATAATAGCCCCCATCTCCCTTTCATCCTCTGGGGCAGGGCCAACTACTCCGTAACTGCTCCTTGAAGCAGACAAGCTGCATGCGGACATCAGGATGCACAAACCCTATGACCCAAACGAGCAGGCCGCTGCTCTCAGAAGGCCTGGCTCAGCTCTCCAGTGTCACGCTGACACACTCTTTACACGCGTCGGAGCGGAGGAAGCCGTCACTAAGTGTGCAGGGCTGGTCCTTAGCTCTGCGCACACCCCAGCAGGCCCCAAAGGAACTGAGGACACTGCTGGGCTCAGCACATGGGACCAGGCAGATGACCCTTTGAGCCTTAGCTGTGGGCCCCTCTCCATCCGGGCTGGACACCACCAGCAGGATTGCAGAGAGTGGTTTCTAGACAGGGGAGCAGTCACAGAGTCAGCACAGGGTGGGAGCAGTGCAGCCTTCCTTGGGAGCTGCCATCCGGGCCACACAAGAGACTTTATTCTCCCGGTCCAGAAGCTCCTGGATTTATCCTTGATTCCAAAAACCAGCCGAAGCAGCCTGGGTCTGCCAAGTAGCTCATGTGGCTTAGTAACTCAGGCTCCACCCGTGGTACTGTCTGAACGGCAAGCCTGGGGCTGGTTTCCAGCCAGATGACTGTCACTGCACAGGCTTGCGATAGGTGGCGAAGGGCTCCATTAGGTGAGAAGGAATCAGGCCAGCAGCCCGTCTGAGCAGTGCTGTTACCAAGACACAGAATACCTCCTGCCTTGACCTTCCTGGAAAGGACAGGGACCTGGCACCTTCCAAGAGCATGCCAGATGCTCTCTCACTGTCCGTCCCGAAGGTCACAATCTCAAAGTGAATTACCTTTGCTGTCGGAGCTCAACCACTGCTAAGGGACACCTCCCAGAAATCCTTCCATGGGTAGAGAAATCTGTTTCATAGACCAAGAGCCTTGTGCCAGTTAGCAGGGCTGCATTCAGCCGTTTAGTGCACCCTTTCCAACATCACTGCTTCACGGTCCCAGCTACATAAAATCTCCTAGCACGTTTCTGAACTACAAAAGCCAAGATCTGAGCCTACTGCATCTGCACAGGGACCCAG